CTATTTAGAGAGTTACTGGAATGAAATGAAGCCAATTCTGCAACAGAGAAACAAACGAAAATGTCAAAATGTAGAAATCCAAGTTTAACTTAATCAAATATAATAACCAATGAAATTTGCAAACTGCAAATTCTCGCAATGTAGACAAAGAAACTTGTTTCTTAAAGATATAATTGGTCTCTCTCTGTGAATACAACATTTGAAAAACCAAACAATAATTAATAAAATAGAAAATTGAAGTACCTGGCAAGTTTTTCTTTTTATACAAACCGTCATCTCCACTTGCTCTAAGGAAGGAGGAAGTGTCTGAACCACCCTTCATCACCCTTCATTCAAAACATCACAACACCTGCACTTATATGAAGGAAAAAAAGAAACGAACCAAAATAAAATTCTACTATAATCCAATTATATGAAGGCCAAACTCTTGAGTTGTGGCTGGTGGCCGTCGACCACATCATCGCCTCCATTTGAGAGAAAAGGGTTTGTTTGGCTCTTTTGTCCAATTATTTACACTAACCATATCTAAATGAATAGGGAAAACACCTATGTTGCTCCCTTCTTGTGATCCAAATTTGAAGACGGCCGATGGAGAGGGGCAGTTATAAGTGTCATCCTCTTTGCTTCTCCTATCCCTGCATTGTCAACCAAAACAACATCAAACCAAATGCAATACAATCCAATGTAATGCTCACAAAATTTGAGCTCCAAACAAAGTCATAGGTTAGCAATCACCTAATCGATCATAACACCATTCGCAACTTTCATTATTTACACAGATTGCCATCCCTTTCATGCAAACACGGACAGCAATTCATATATGTCACATTATTTACAAACAGTTACAAATCAAGAAACAATTAAATCATCATCATGAATACAGTGTAATATCAACACCATCAATTAGAAAAGATAGAGCTACATGGCAATAAACATACAGAGAGGAAATGCTTCAGATCCTTCCCAAAAGCAATCTTGTGCAGGATAACAAAAGAGCAGTTGATCTCTGATCTAATTGCAGACGTAATCTGCAAAACTGGGGAATTTGAACTTGTGAGATGTGGGGTGGAGACCTGAATGTAACAAATTGGTGTTAAGTGAATAATTCCAAACATATGAAATTTAGATCATCACACCTGAATGCGTACAGAAAAATTAAATAAAGAATCGAATGCATACACAATCTAATTAGACAAATAAGTGAACTTTCCCTTTTGGTATGTTTCAATTTCAAATGTACCAAAAAACCAAATGTACAAAAAATCCCAAATGTCTCTATCAGATAACCCTTTTGTACGTTTACGTTCTAAATGTACGGAGAAATACAAAAAAACAAATCTACTATAAAACTAAATGTGTCCATATTATAGGTAATTAGATGTAGCTATATAATCAAACAAATCTTTATTATGTATTGGGTCTTTTCAAATCATCAAATATGATAATTTTTTTATTTATAAATATTCTACTATATTCACAAAAAAAGTAAAAATTATAACAATAAATAAAAAAAAAAAAGCATAGATATAGAGGTAAAAGAAAAAAAAAAATGAAATGGCCAGAGAAGTCGTGAAAAGGAGTGTTTGAGAACTAGAGTTTATGTTTAGGAAAGTGTTTGAGAACTAGAGAAGTCGTACATAGTCTTAATAACCAAAATTTTAGGAAAGTGTTTGATCAACTTTTTAAAGGGAGTGTATGTTTAGTCTAAAAATTTCAAAGACGAGGAGGTGTCTATGTCAAAAAGCCCTTTTTTTTTCTTTTTTTTTTTTGTGAATTTTTTCTTTTGAAATCATAATGGAAGAAGGCAATTTTGAAATTACCTTTATACATATAAATGATGAAAAACTTGCCTTATTCTCTCTTCGAGTCATGCTTGCTCTATTAAGTTTCTTCTTCTGAAGTTAATTATACAAAATGAAGAAATGAATGACAGGTTAGACCTAATCCTGCATACCAACGTGTTGTGAGGCAAGGCTCTCCAAAACATAAGTTTTTTTTTTTGTTTGTTTGTTTTGTTTTGAGAAACTCCAAAACATAAGTTAGACTTGGTAGATGAATAAGAATTCAAGAACTAGAGTTTTTTGATAGAGAAACGGTTACCCGTATCCGTAGGTAACTTTTTCATCGTTCCAAATCCCCCTCTCCTCCTCTGTAGAAAAAAAATAATACATATATATATTATCAATGTATTGACAGCACTAGAATTTTTAATTTATTTTGTAACGACTTATACACCTCACACTCGTTATGCTAATATGGTCTTGTTCTTTCTTTGTTCTTGTAGGTTTCTTTCAATATCTATGGTATCAAATCAGTAAGCGGTCTTCTTTTAGTTTTATTTATGCAATGTTTACATGTTTTCGGTCGACAGCCTTAATTTTTTAAATTCTGAAGACTGGGTGAGCTATTGCTAATTTTGTGTACTCTTCTTCACATTTTTCACTGCAGGTCGTGAAAGGATCTGGTTATGTAAGAAGTTTCTCCCCAAAAGCTTCTTTTATTTCTTTGGCCTCTATCTGTACTTCTTAAACCTTGTAAGTGTATGACTTTGCTCACTTTTCTATGGTATGTATCTTTTGCAGTTGGCAAGTCGAGTTCAAGGCACAACTACATCGGTAAGAGCTTCAGTTAATTAGTCCATACGCTCAAGTCTTTTGATTTTGGGTGTCTTTATTGGCACCCAAATTTTAGTTAAGTTCACCTAACTAAAACATTTTGTCACTTATAAACTACAAAGTCTGCCCTCATTTGTAAGTTCACCCAAAATCAAATTGTTCGAGAGTGTCGGTTTCAAGTGTCCGGAAGGGAAAGGAAATGAAATGACTGGCAGACTTCCTGCAAGATGTTATTTCCATTAAGGACCAACGTAGGAGGTGGAGGAGGCTGGTGTGGTAATGTATGCGGTGGTGTGTGTGTTCGTTCTCTTTCTTTTGGTGAGTGGTGCTTGCTGCTTGGTGGGTTGGGTGAACTCAAAATCAAGGGCAAATTAGGAAGCTTGATGACAAAATTTTTTAGTTGAGTGAAACTTAACTAAAATTTGGGTGTCAATAAAGACACCCTATGAATTTTTTATTTATTATTATTATTTTTTTGTTTTACTTTATGCACTTTTCAAACTCATGGTCGATTGATTGTGTTACAGAACGTGGATGGGGTATACTCATATTGATCGGTAAGAACTAAGGCCATCTTGTATTATTAGCATAGATTTCCCATTCTCTCTCTTTAATCACATCAAAGACAAAGTAATTTGAAAAAAAAAGGGAAGAAAAAGTAGTACGCAGTGGATCTAACATATTAATGTCAATGCATGCAGGGTTATTTTTCCTAGCCAAATTTGTTTTTGGAGGTCTAGTTGTGACTGCATTTTTAATCTACACATGGCGCAGAAGACATTTATCAATGTATAGCACAATAGAAGATTTTCTGCAATGCAATAACAACTTCATGCCTATAAGGTACTCTTACTCGGACATCAAGAAAATGACTCGCAGGTTCAAGGACAAGTTGGGCGAAGGTGGCTTTGCCTTTGTATTTAAAGGAAAGCTGCGCAGTGGCCGTTTTGTAGCAGTTAAAGTCTTGGGCAAGCCCAAAGCTAATGGCCAAGATTTTATTAGCGAAATAGCTACGATCGGAAGGATTCACCATGCTAATGTGGTGCGACTTGTTGGATACTGTGTCGAGGGATCAAAGCGCGCTCTAGTGTATGACTTCATGCCTAATGGCTCCCTTGATAAATACATTTATTCCAAAGAAGGAAGTCTTCCCTTAACTATCAAGACTATGTACGAGATTTCTCTTGGAGTGGCGCAAGGGATCGAATATCTACATCAAGGTTGCGAAATGCAAATTCTACATTTCGACATCAAGCCTCATAACATCCTTCTTGATGAGAACTTTAAAGCAAAGGTTTCTGACTTTGGGCTTGCAAAATTGTATCCTGTAGATAATAGCATTGTCTCTTTGACGGCAGCACGGGGTACAATGGGATATATTGCTCCCGAGTTGTTCTACAAAAATATTGGAGGTGTCTCATACAAGGCCGATGTCTATAGTTTTGGAATGTTGTTGATGGAAATGGCAAGCAGAAGGAAGAATTTGAATGTAACGGTAGAGCATTCAAGCCAAATCTACTTCCCAATGTGGGTATACGATCAGTATATTGTGGGAAATGACTTGGAAATGGACAATGTTACAGAGGAGGAAAAGAAGGTAATAAGAAAGATGGTTATAACCGCCTTGTGGTGTATTCAAATGAAACCAAGTGATCGCCCTTCGATGTCCAAAGTTGTCGAAATGCTTGGAGGAGATGTTGAATGTCTGCAAATGCCTCTTAGGCCTTCTCTATGCCCACAAGAGACGCCTATGAATGTGGGTGATATTCAAGACAATGAATTGAACCCAATATGTTCTAACGCGGAGCTAACGTGTTCATTGTCAGCTAGGTGATAATCACATGGTTAAGGAAGTGCAGTAATGTATTATTAATTAAATTCTTGCTTTAAAGTGATTTAGTGAATAATTGTCGTCTGTAATTGTTTGGCTTGGATTCATCTAAGAACGACTTGTGTTGGTGCGTATACATATACATTCTTACTTTAGTCTAAAGAAAGGTTTGGAATTGGCACTGTAGAAATGAATAGTGTTTCAATCTGAATTTCATATTAATTTCAACCATGCCATTGATCTTTCTGTTGGTTTTGTTGATCTTTCTGTTGGTTTTGGGTCAGCAGCCCGGCCCTCAGCGAGGCCCAAATGTGTTGGTTTTGGCTGGGAAGCCCGGCCCACAATGAGGCCCAAATTATTTAACTACATTTTTGCCCATCTAAGATTACAATCCAATGGTGGGGATGGTCTATTACGAAGGGTAATTTTGTCCTCTCCATTTTGGGCAAGATAGGGGGTCACCGGGTAGGTATCATTTGCTGTCGTTCAATTAGGGTTTCGGGGAGGGTCTGCGAGAGAGAGAGAGAGAGAGAGATGGCGATGGAAGGAGAGCGAGGGGGAGGGGTAGGGGGTCTCGGCACTGTTGCTGCAGATGGTAGGGGTCATCAACAAACCCTACTGAGGTTGGGGTGTGCCGGATCTTGCGCTGCATGCCTCAAATCCAAAGACAAGTTCCTTTTTTAAATTGTTTTCTTTATGGTGACTTAGATTTTCTAATTGTTTAGTATGTTAGGTTCGGTTTTGGGGGATTTGTGATTTTATAGAGAGAGATGGATAGGGAGATAAAGATTGACAGACGGAGGAGAAAGCATGGCTGTGTGCATTTTTTTTGGGGTTAATTAATGGGTTAGTGCGCAGGGTCAGTGAGGAGAGTGACAGAGGGGTGTATGGGAGAGTGACAGAGGGGTGCATTTTTAAATTGTTAAAACCATATTTCGAATTTTTTGGTTTCACTGTGCTCATTTTTGTGCTTCTTGATAATTTCCTGGTGTTTGCTTCTCATCGCTCTGTTGGTAGATTTTTTTCCCCATTTCTTGGTTCCTTATGTATTCCTTGTTACAAATCTGTCTAATTTTTGGCTGTGTGATGATCCTTGTAGGTGAGCTATATGAACGTTGTTTTGAAACACAGAGCTTCATCCCCTCGAATCTGCAATTCATAGCAGCAGGTTCATCCTCACCCCTTCACTATTATCTGCTTAAAGCGAAACATTTTTATTATGGCCTTGGTTGCTTGACATTTTTAGGCATATAATTTGCTATACTTTTGTTTTGGTTTCTTCAGTTAGATGTAATGTCACCCAACATAGTATAATAGACGGAATCACCATCTCTGTTCTCTTCAAGATAATTTTATTTCGTAACCCAACTTGGCAAATGATATAGTTTGTTGAAGAGAGAAAGCAAGCTTTGTTTGCAGTAGTATTAATAAGTCAGATCTCTTATTTTCCTGCAAATGAATAGACTTAATGCAATCCTCGGTCAAATCATTTATCACATTCAGACAAGTTCCCAATTATTTTTGCATATGAAGAAGACCATCTTCACTTACACCGGATTTATCTGCAAACTGAATTTTGATTACCCCAAACTTATTAATAAAGAAGCCACTGTTTTAATCAAATTTGGCATAATCTTTAACATGAATATAGAAGGAAAGAAGCAAAATAGGCCTCGAATGGATGTATATGTGTAGAAATTATGTTGGAAGGTTAGTTATGTTGAAAAAACCCGCACACTGGACCTTGTTCTTTGATGTAACCAACGGCAATAGACTAAACTAGCAAATATAGAAAACTTAGAAACACACAAGAATTATACTGGTTCGGCAGAACTTATGCCTACGTCCAGTTGTGATTTCCCTAGGTAGAGAAATCACCACTTCTTTGATTAATAATAGAGATTACAGAACTTATGCAAACCCTAGAACTAATCTCAAAACTCTCTGCTGTTTGGCTGTTTTCTCTCTGCTGAAATCAGTCTTGCCGCACCCTATTTATAGATATAGGGTTGGCTTACATGTCCTTTACAGATTATAATTCCTATTCTAAGTGGAATAGGAAATTAGACTTCCTTTCCAATTCCAAATAGACTTCTAGGATTTCTAATCTAAATTGAATCAGGAAACTAAGATTCTTTCCTAGCCCTTTTAGGAGAAGAATTGGTGCACCCTTTCCCTAAAACAATCCTAAACAGAAAAGGACACAAATTGACGAGCCAAAAACTAACAATCTCCACCTTGGTGAGTCAAACCAAGTCTTGATCGTTTGCACCCCAGAGTATCTTTGAACCTTCTTGAAGTAGCTCTGGAAAACTTCAAGAGTCTTCACCTTGGCAACCTCCTTCTTGCCTCATTGCACCTCAGGTGAGGAGGTGCTCCACTTTAATCAATCAACGAGATTGATCAAGTTCAAACAATGCTTGAACTTCTTGGCCGGCACTATCTTTGTAAGGAAATCTGCGGCATTGTCATCCGTATGAACCTTTTCAATCCAAATTTCCTTAGACTCCACCCAATCTCTGATTCTATGATACCTTGCTTCAATGTGCTTTGATCTTCCAGAAAAAACCTGATTCTTTGCCAAGTGAATGGCACTTTGACTATCACACTTAAGCTTCACACAATCTTGAGTGATTCCCATTTGACTTACCAAGCCACTAAGCCAAATTGCTTCCTTTCCAGCTTCGGCCAATGCAATATACTCTGCCTCTGTGGTCGATAAAGCTGTAATTGGTTGCAGTAGTGCCCTCCAACTGATTGGTCCTCCTGCGCATGTAAACACATAACCCGAAGTTGACCTTCTCTTGTCCAAGTCCCCTGCATAATCGGCATCCACATATCCTAACACCCCTGCATTTTCCTTTTGCTTCTCAAACATAATCCTTTGTCGCCAAGAACCTTTCAAATAACGCAAAATCCACTTGACTACATCCCAATGTTGCTTTCCTGGATTTGCCATGTATCTGGAAACGACACTGATTGCTTGAGCTATGTCAGGACGTGTGCATACCATTGCATACATGAGGCAGCCCACGGCATTAGCATAAGGCACCTTCTTCATTTCTTGTTGCTCTTCCTCGGACGTAGGACACTGTTGTCCACTTAACCTGAAGTGAGCTGCCAACGGAGTCGAAACTACCTTTGCTTCTTGCATGTTGAACTTCTCAAAAACCTTCTGAATATACTTGGCTTGTGATATCCAGATCCTTCCAGCGGTCCTATCTCTCTGAATTTCCATGCCAAGGATCTTCTGTGCGGCACCTAGATCCTTCATGTCGAACTCCTCGCTCAACATCCTTTTCAAGTCTTGAATTCTAGACTTGTCTTGACAAGCAATTAACATGTCATCCACATATAGCAATAGCAATATGATCATCCCATCTTGGAACACATGATAGTACACACAACAGTCATACAAACACCTTCTAAAATTAATTTTCAGCATGAATGAATCAAACCTCTTGTACCACTGTCTTGGAGACTGTTTCAGGCCATACAGGGACTTCCTTAGCTGACATACTAGGTTTTCTTTCCCATATTCAACAAACCCTTCTGGTTGAGCCATGAATATCGTCTCCTCTAAATCCCCATGAAGAAACGCTGTCTTCACATCCATCTGCTCAATCTCCATGTCATGCTGAGCTGCCATTGCTAAAAGCAATCGGATAGAAGTATGCTTGACTACAGGTGAAAAGATCTCATCATAATCCACCCCTTCCTTTTGTGAGTACCCCTTAGCCACGAGCCTTGCTTTGAATCTCACGGCATCTTGTTCATGTAGTCCTTCCTTTTTCCTAAATACCCACTTGCATCCAACTAGCTTTCTGTCTTTGGGTTTAGGAACCAACTCCCAAACAGAGTTCTTGTAAAGAGACTCCATTTCCTCTGTCATAGCACTCATCCAACTATCTCGCTCATCACTTGCTATAGCTTCTCGATAAGTAGTCGGATCTCCTTGACTAATGTTAAGAGCATAATTAACTTCGTTTTGGTCAAACCCAAACCTGTCAAGTTTCTTCTTGTTCCGCTTAGGTTTGTCCAGTGCTATGCATCTTTGGAATGCAGGTGGATTGTTGGGTGGAGTTTGACTCCTTTGGGATATCTGGCGGATTGGAGTACCTTCAATCTGTCCTGTTTCTTGCTCCACCTGATTCCTAACTGGTGAATGATGCTGATGCTCTTCTTCTTCCTCAAAACCATCAGATTCGGCCTCTTGCTCAATTTGCTCCACCTGAGCTTCTTCTTCATCTGAACTGATTAACGGAATCTTTGTTGCTTCAATTTCAGCATCATCCTTCTTCTCCCTACTGCTCTCGACTTTATTTAGAGGCATGGTTGTCTCATCAAAGACAACATCTCGACTGACAACCTTTTTTCTGTTGTTGAAATCCCAAAGCTTGAAACCCTTCACTCCTTTCTCAAAACCTAGGAATATGCAATGTATAGACTTCGGTTTGAGCTTGGACCTTTCATCACTTGGAATATGTGCATAAGCACTACAGCCGAACACCCTGAGCTTGGAATAATCCACCGGCTTCTCAGACCATACCTCTTCTGCACTCTTAAAACCGAGAACTGTAGATGGTGATCTGTTAATCAAATAACTTGCATGATTAACAGCCTCTGCCCAAAAACTATCAGGCAATCCTGCATGAAATCGCATGCTCCTTTCTCTCTCCATGAGAGTTCGGTTCATCCTCTCAGCAGCTCCATTTTGTTGGGGATTCTTCTTTACTGTGAAGTGCCTTATGATGCCTTCCTGCTTGCAGTAATCGGTGAACTCCTTACTTGCATATTCACCTCCATTGTCACTTCTCAGATACTTGATCTTTCTTCCAGTTTGATTCTCGGTTTCTGTTTTCCATTCCTTGAACTTTGCAAAAACCTCGGATTTCTGCTTCATGAAATAAATCCAAACCTTCCTAGAAAAATCATCCATGAAAGTAACAAAATACCTGGCTCCACCATTTGATTTAGTTGGAGCAGGACCCCAAACATCTGAGTGAATATAGCTGAGTTGCTCCTTACTTCGGCTATCTGCACTGCTACTTGCGAATGATACCTTTCTTTGCTTCCCAAGAACACAGTATTCACAAAAATCTAGTTTGCAAGCTGACACGCCTTCCAACAGGCCTTGCTTGTGTAATTCTTGCAATCCCTTCTGGCTTATGTGCCCGAGCCTATGATGCCATAGTTCAGTCTTGTCTTCTATACTTTGATTTACAGAAACAGCTGCTCCCCCGACTATAGTGGTCCCAATTAACTTATACAACTTATTGGGTTGTAGGTCACCCCGCATTACCACTAGCGATCCTTTGGTTACCCTGAGTCTTCCTTTTTTAGACTTGTACCCATAACCGGCCTCATCTAAAGTACCCAAGGAAATCAAATTCTTTCTTAGTCTAGGGACATACCTGACGTTCCCCAAAGCTTGTATCATCCCATCGAACATTCTGATTCGAACAGTGCCGATTCCTCTTACAGGACATGAAGAATCATCCCCCATTAAGACTTCCCCGCTGCTGACTTCTTTGTAAGTATCGAACCATTCTTTTACTGCACACATGAAACGTGCATCCAGTATCCAAAATCCAATTGGAAGCCTTGGAGCCCGATGTTACCGAAAGAAGTTCCCCGTCACTCTCATGTTCGGTGACTGCACTAGCGGAACCTGAGCTTCCTTCCATCTTGGCTTTCTTTTCTTTCCAAATCTTGCAGTTCCTCTTCCAATGATCGGCTGAACCACATTCGAAGCAACCTTCCTTCTTTTCCTTTTTCTTCTTGGATTTTGACCTACCTCTGTTGCCAGTTTTCTCTTCCCTTGTCTTTTCCCGCCCCCTCTCCTTGCCTTTGGCATAAAGGCCTTGAGAGCTTTCAGTTATATCATCTAGTTTAGCATATGACTGAAGAGCTTGAATTACGTCTTCAAGCTTCAAGGACTCTTTTCCAAACATTAGAGTTGTTCGAAAGTGCTTGAAAGACGAAGGTAGAGACCTTAGCAGGATGATAGCCATATCATCATCTTTGTAAGTTTCTTCGACTTTCTGAAGATTAGCTATGCAATTCTGGAACCTGCATACGTGATCTTCAATATCACCTCCTTCTTCTAGTCGAAGCCCGAATAGTTCATCCTTTAGAAAAAGTTTATTGGACACGGTTTTGCCCATATAAACATTCTCTAATTTTTCCCATGCTTCCTGGGCAGACATTTTTCGGTGATGTGTGACCGAACTGATCTTGTGAGATGGATCTCGATGGAACTCTTGGCCTTCTTAAGAACCTTATTCCATGCTGCTTCTGTCATGCTTTCCGGCTTCTTACCATCAAGTGCATCATCCAAATCCTGCTGTATCAGTACGTTCTTCATCATCCTTTGCCAGTCCGTGAAGTCATCCTTGCCGTCAAAGGGTTTTAACGCAGGTCCTTGATCCGCATTCATCTTCCCCTTTAACATCGTAGAACACCTTGATCCTAGCTCTGATACCAATTGTTGAAAAAACCCGCACACTGGACCTTGTTCTTTGATGTAACCAACGGCAATAGACTAAACTAGCAAATATAGAAAACTTAGAAACACACAAGAATTATACTGGTTCGGCAGAACTTATGCCTACGTCCAGTTGTGATTTCCCTAGGTAGAGAAATCACCACTTCTTTGATTAATAATAGAGATTACAGAACTTATGCAAACCCTAGAACTAATCTCAAAACTCTCTGCTGTTTGGCTGTTTTCTCTCTGCTGAAATCAGTCTTGCCGCACCCTATTTATAGATATAGGGTTGGCTTACATGTCCTTTACAGATTATAATTCCTATTCTAAGTGGAATAGGAAATTAGACTTCCTTTCCAATTCCAAATAGACTTCTAGGATTTCTAATCTAAATTGAATCAGGAAACTAAGATTCTTTCCTAGCCCTTTTAGGAGAAGAATTGGTGCACCCTTTCCCTAAAACAATCCTAAACAGAAAAGGACACAAATTGACGAGCCAAAAACTAACAAGTTAAACTTAGGCTTATTCTCAAGTATAGTATAAATCCTTGGGTTATTTGGATTTCAGTGTTTATCAAACTTTGCCGTGCTTATGTATTGATCTCATAACTGTCGCTTTCGTACAACAATCCAAATATGGAATCTGCCATCTGGATTCTATATGGAAGTTGTGAAGCTTTTTTCCCCCAAAATTTTGGTCTTTTTGTTTTTGTATGTTGGTTTAAAACAAATAAGAAGTTTTCATATTGGTATTTTGCTTTTGTTCCTAAACAATGACAATTTTTTACTTCTGAAATGGTTGTCACCTTATTATTTGTTCATGTGCCAGTGCCCTGTTATGATGGTGCTCATTGCTCTAGGAAAATTGGGAGGGGAAATTTTCATATGCTTTGTGGAATCTTTGATGCAATTAGCATTTTAAATTTGACTCCTCCCATTAGTTTTTTTCTTTCTGATAAATTCTGTTGTGATCTATGTGTGTTGCTGATGAAAGAAGATAAAGGTTTAGCCATGTTCCTTAATGGTCCCTGAAACTCATGGGTGCTTTCACTTGCTATGCATACGGTGATAATTGTGGCTGATGCTGTTATGATTCATAACTAGGCAATTTCCACTCATATTTCCTTTGGTTGTGTAATGATTTTCTTTTGTCCTAACTTCACTTGCCATCATATGTTCAGGCTTGGGTTACCCTTGGTAGAGCACAGTTAAACTTTGGGGAGGCTGATAGTGCCATTCAAAGCTTCAACAGAGCATTAGCCATCAAGGTATTGTTTCACCTTTCAAGAAATTATAATCTGTACTTCTCAAAGCTTCTTACGCTGTTTTCTGATGCGTCTTTGAGCCACTGACCTTAGATGGAGTCTGATACTGCAATATTATGTGCTAATCTAATAAACCCTGCAGCTTATTCGTCTTCGTCATGAGTAAAATAACATGACAGAAAGGAGCGGTAACCGGCTCGCACATTCCCTTGATGATCGTTATAATCTTCGTTTTCTTAGTCTCCTCTATGCCCTCATCGAGAAAGTTCTCAAACCTGTTCCCATATGTGTATTGTTAAGTTGCTAATTTATAGATTAACCTGCTGTGATTCTGTGCTTGAAGTCAGGCATATGTTTAGACTTCCAAATTTGATGCCTTAGTAGCTTCAGTGCTTGCCTTAAAATTACTATAGGCATAACTGTTACAGTTCAAGTGTATGAAGGTTTTTTCCAAGGCATTTGTGATAGACCGGTGTACTTTAATCTTCTCCTAGGTCCCCAATTACAACAAAAATCAAAATTGCATAAATATTAAGAACACAATGAAACTGAAAAAATTATATGGTTCTAAAGTGATATAAACTGTAAATGAAGAAAATACAGGTGCATGTATTGGTGCATCAGATGTACAGATTAGGACCAATTCTCTGTGATTAAAGTCTGGAAAAATACAGTGAAAAAGATGCAACTTTTTTATGGGATTGACAATTTTCGGCTTAGTTTTGGCTAAGAAATAATTAGAGTGTACTTATTAAGTTGAGTTAACAAATTTGCAGGATGCAACAGAACACATGGGAGAAGTTTTGAAACGAGTTAAGAAGATCCGGCTGAAAAGAGCCTACAAGATAGGGAATTGGTATGCTGCTTTGTCTCTGTGTTGGATTTTTATGTTTAGGTTCTGCTGCTAAGTAGATTTTATAGTGTTCTAAATCTGTTTTGAAAATGTGCTTAAAGATTGGACATGTTATTGTATATTAGCCATGTAGTTTATAATTACCTGTGGACTTGAATACTATTATCTGATTATAGTTTATAATTACCTGTGGACTTGAATAGTATTATCTAAAGCTCTCTCACTACTCGGTTGTATCTATATAGCAAGAAATTGTTGTGTAGGTGAACTACAAACCTCAAATTCCCTTCTGTATATTTGCAGTTGCTTTTCCATATAAATCTTCTCTTGCAAAGAAATTCAAAGGCCTCTAATTGTATTCATGGACTATAACTGTAATTATATAATGTACATTATTATTTAAATATAAAAAGGTATAATTTATATATAAAGTCAATTTAAACTCTTTTTGCTTTGAGAAAGGGAACTGGTAAGGGAGGTATGGGTATGGGTTTTTAGGGCTGGTTTCTAGGGAGGTGGTCTGGTGTCAGTGCCTTCACATGGTGAGGGGTGTGATATGGGGGAGAGAGGAGAGGGGGTTGGTTGCAGAGAATGGGGGTGTGATTTGGGGGAGATAGGAGCGGGGGTTGGTTGCAGAGAGAAGGTGACGGCGGGTGCACGATTAGGGGGACAGAAAGAGAGTTGATTGGGTACAAGATTTGAGGGTAGGGTTGAGGGAATGAGTGTGTTGGCTGCAGAGAGATGGTGGGGTTGAGTTAGTATCTCTCCCTTTCTGTCGCTTCTCTCTTCCTCCATCTATGACAACTTTGTTTTGGGGTCAAAATATGTTCGCCTTTACATAGAAATTTGAGTGTTTTATTTATTTATTTGGGTTTTTATAGCTGATGCATATTATGTTTTGTGTTTCTGGGTTTTATCACTAATTGTCAATTGGATTTTCTGGTTTCAAAAATAGGTGGAGGCATCGACTAATCTGCTGGCTGATCAGCAGATGCCAGTGTATAATCTTGCATCGAAGATTCTTTGTCGGGTTATCAATGTATCATTGAAGGTAGTGTGGTGGCTGCTCTTATAAAGAATTCTAAGAATTCTGGATTTAATTGTTTAGCTGCTTCTTTTGTACTCAAGTTATTGGGCTTTGCGAGGGAATACTATGTTTCTTTCTGCTGAATTATAGGCTGAACCAGACACTGATGAAGTATTTGCACAAGTCACTTTACTTCCCGAATCAAATGTAAGTTGTTGGCTTGAGGATTCTGATTTATTGTGGGTGGGTAAAACTGATTATGGGTTGAGATTCGGATGGTTTGATGTTATAAATTTTAGCAAGATGAGAATGCAGTGGAGAAGGAAATAACATAGGGCGCGCGTCCTTAAATGGGAAAACACTTTGGTTAGGCAAAGCCAAATTAAGGAAGAGAATAGGTAGAGGCTAAAACATAATCAAGTGGAAATTTTAGGTACAAAATGTGTAGTGAGTCAAGAAATTATACAATGGTGTCCAACTGCTTTCCACCACGGCCACTTTAAAAGGCTTAGTTCTTTTTCCAAGTGAAGAAATAAAATGGCACTTGAATCATAGAAATATTAACATCTATCCTCAAATTAAAAAAACTTCATATTTGAAAGGAAAAACACACACCAGCGCACACTTGGAAATAGTTGGAAATATTCGCAAACCTCACAATATATATGCATGCTTTAGCGATATTTATAATGAGGATATTTATATAAGCAAACCTCACTTATGCCCTGTACACATTCTACTGTTTAAGTAATGAAGAAAACTATTGTCAATGTCTCTAGCTATTCATTTATTATCTTCAATGATTTGGAAACCTGCTACTATAGTTTTCAGAATGGTTATGTCACACTCTGCTATTCTTCCTGCCAAAAAGGGGAAGGTTTGCATGGCTGTCACTCTTCCAACAGGTTAGTGGGTTTCTCTGGTTAGAACTTCAGTCTACAAGCTTTGTGGCTGATCAGAAGCTACCTTATTTGGATTTTGCTGGTAAGCATGAATTTATATATATATATATATATATATAAATATATATATATATTCATTAAGTTTATATAATTACATGGGTGTTCTTTGAGTGCTATGTACATATATTTCCTAAAAGAAACTGATTTCTCACACTATTTTCTTATTCTGCACCTTTGTTGAATTTTTGTCCTTTGATTTCATTTTTTTTTTATTCAATTCAAATGACCAAAATAAACACGAGTGTATAATGAGTATGCGGAAATCAGTATCATTTGCTAAAATGTTTATCTTTATAGCTCATGGTATATATGAGTTTTGTTGTTGTTGCTTTTCTTGCCTTTGCACATTCTGCTCTGAAATTTATAAATACATAGAATATTGTAATTGAAAGAAAAAAGAACTTTGGACCAAATTCTACATACTCAATTTGACAGGAAGAAGGTTTTGAATGGGATGATTGGAAGACAAAAAGGTTATAATTCTTATGACTGGATTGAGCATGGTATGTTTAATTATGCAGATGACCATCTGTTTTACTTTGATTAATTTCTTTGGTCAGTGCATATCATAGATAATGTATTTAATAAATGATGTAGAAACAGTGTCCAGCTTCAATACTACAAGTGTATTATCCGTTAGATTCGACTTTCACAATTATTAAATTTTTTAGTGTAAATCTGAACCGTTTATTTCCCGTATCATTCAATATTATGGAAGTATTTTCTGTAGAAACCTGCTGGAAAAAAAATTGATGTAGAAACCTTTGAAAAGCTCAATGCAGGCATCTCAACTCAATTACTACAAACCCTATTCAAGGTGAAGGGTGTCGTACACTATGGAATTGCAGGAAATGCAGATCCCCAACTCGAAATTGGAGATGTCACCATCCCTCAATTTTGGGCTCATTCAGGCCTTTGGAATTGGCAGGTATAAAACACTAATTTTCTTTAGAAAATTGGCTTTTGTTTGGTAATCTTTTTTTTAATCCCAGTTAATTGAATATCCAATTATGGAAAAATGTATTCGTACCAAACCAAATTCCAATTGAACGGTTGGTGTATTTGTTCCATACAACATTCGAATTGGATGATTGGTTTATTTGTTCCAAACCCCAATATCATATTATTTGTATTTCTGCCCATTTATGGATGATTGGTGTAGCTGCTATGATTGTCAGATTGTGTATGTTGGTTATTTCTTAAATGAGCAAATAAAGTCAGCAAAAAAGTAGATGCTATGTCAGTGTATGTCAATGGGGAAGTGTAGCTATGAAATATATGATTACATTGATCATGGATGATGCGTATAACAGAGTCCTAACTGAGCAATTTATGTTAGTGACTCAGTGTAGATGCTAAATACTAATGGGTGAATAATGAATGTTTCGCTGAGTAGCATGTTATTACCAATCTTGGTAGATTTACAAAGCATATGAGAGAATTGGTATGAATTTTGCACTGGTGGCTGAAGAAAAATCAACAAGCTAGATTACTCATTTAACCATTTACATGCATTTGATCACAGATATTGAGAAACCTTAGAGTTAATTATCTGTAACAATAAATGTTAATTATTCAAACTTGATTTCTTGGCAATGGCTTCCTTCGTTAACCTCTACAACTACGTCTCTCTTCACTTTCCCACTTCCTCTGGTCTCTCTTTCTCTTTCTAATCTCTACTGAGTTTCTTTCAATCTGTCAATTTATATAATTTATACTTTGATGTGATATTTGGTGCATTTGATTTGGTTTTGTGAATGTCTTCCTGACTTTTCCGCATTGGATTAAAATAATAAGTTCAATGGTTGTATACATAACAGAATACTGATTTGCGAACAAGGCAATTCAAAGCTTGAAAATTTGTATATTATGCTAAGCTGACTACCTTTTTTCCCCGCTTTTTCGACTTTGAGCAATTGCAGTATTTTAGCCCAACTTGCTAAAATTTTTGTTTATATGAATTTGGTATAAACTTGAATAGAACTTATATCTGCAGGTTGAATGTGTCCTTTGCCAAGTATTTTTTGGTACAAGAAAAAGATTACATTATATGCACACGATACTGTTTCAATATTCTACTTTTGCTTGCAATTTTGTTCTCTCTAGGACATTAAAGAGCAGTGTTGGTTTTTAAGTTTCACCACCAAATACCAACTGTTTGATTGTGATCTCTCTGTGAGATTGGTTATATGATTTAAAAATTCTGTTAATAAATGTTAATTGTGATTCAAAAAATAGACTATGCTTTACCTGATAAAAAAACAGAAACTGCATGTGTATGATAGGAAGTGGAGAGCAATCTGTCTCGGTTTTGGAATGTACTGGAATCAAAGAAGCTAACTCAAGGTGCTAACTTTGAATTTTCCTGAAATATCTCCTTTTGTTTTTGGATTAATTATTTTAGACGTAGGAAATCTCTATGTTTTATCTGGTAGTTGAAAATATAAATTTGGGACTTGTTCCATTTAGTTATTTGGGAGTTTGAATTTATAAATGTAGATTTGTGTTTGTTTGCCCTGCTGTTGTTTCAAAGCTGGAGGAGGCATTGTGGATTAATAATAGGAAATATGATGCTCTGTGGTGCTGGGAAATGCTTAAACTGCTTGTGCATTTTGCACTCCGGACCAGAATGAGGCAAGGGTTCCAAAAGGTGTTGCAGTGCTTCCTAAAGGCTTTCAATGAGGTACTTCCACTTACAAATCTCAAAGAAACTACATTGTTTTTTAACTTTCGATGTGTAATAAGGAGGGTTGTGAGATTGACTGCATAATTTGTAATTTGGGTTTAGTGACTTATAAAATTGCAATTTCAAAGATCTTAAATTACAGTTTAGTTATCCATTTTTGAAATTCCTGTGCACAGTAATTGATAAATGTAATGCTATTAGAAAATTGTTATTACTGTGATTGTGCAGTGCTTACTATGTATTTGCTTAGCTTAATTATTTTAAATTAGGGGTGGTTGAAAGTTGGAATTTTATTCATGCAGTTTGTGCAGAGAAGAGTATCTCATTACAAGGAACTCAATCCAACAGAAAATTTACTACTCTTAAAAGCATTTTGTGAACTCCAAGCTCAAGTCAATCCTTAATTTTCATCTACTTTTTATTTCTCCATGTCTAGGTGATTTACATGGTTTGTAACCATTAAATCACCCAACTTTATATTTACAATTGTGTTTCTGATTGTTGATGTCAATTAAAATACTATTATTCAGGTTATTAGATTTTATGCTATATGTTAACATATTCATTTTAATAATTACCACTTGCTTTAATGCATAGAAAATGCTGATTCTGTGGCAAGAAAATAGTCTTATTTCCTGTTTAATAAAACTCATAATTAGAGAAACTGTTTGAAGAGAATGATACATAATTATTCATGCAATTTGTAATCCCGCAGCAACACGCAGGCGTTACTAGCTAGTCATATATACTAAAACTCAGTTGAGTTTTAGCACTGTTCAGCAATAGTAAAAAGGCGGAAATGCCCTTGATTTGTTTGGGGTTTAGGTGCTGCTGAATTGCTTTGTATAGTTAAATGTCATTTGGTGTCTTCAGCTGCCCGAAAAGTCCTACGCCTTTTTTATCTCGCCTGTTGCAGGGATAAGGTGAGAATTGACTGTGCCACGTGTTGGGTACTTTTTGGGGTTTATTTTGCTTCCTTTTCCTTTTGGTTTATTTCTCTCGCCGTTCTCATCAATTTTCTACCTATCTCAAACTGCTCTCTCATCTTTTCATCTCTCTCCCAAATTATCTGTGCGAAATCAGTGAGCCTGTTTTTGGTTGCTGGAAAAAAGTTTGGTTGTTACAAATTTCTTGCGTTCAAAATCCCTCAATCGCTACGAATTTTGTTCCTTTTTTTGGATTTGTCAGAATCAATGTTTTGGGTCAGAGGTCTACAGTTACTGGGTGAGTTTTTTTTACTTTTTGGGTATCGTTGTTTTAAATTTTTCTTGGTGGTTTTCGATACTCAGATGTTTTTGCATATGAATTTTGGATGGTTTTTGTATATGAATTTTGTTTTTATAATATTAGGTATTTTGTTTCTATGCTAAGATTTTAATTTTTTTTGGGGTCAAATATTTAATTACATCATGTCATGGGTTTTGTATGGGTTCAATTGGCAGTTTTGATTTTCTTTCTATTTTGTTTCCATTCCACTGCTGTCTCTCAATTTGTGTTGCCTCTTTGATTCTGGCTTTGTCCGCGTGTGTCAAAGGATAGAAACCGGCTGAAGTCAAATTTCTGCGGCTTGGTTCTGCTACTTGGGTCGTTGCCCTGGAGATTAAATTATCAAAATTTGGTGTTTCCACATTGCCGATTCCAAGTGGTCGTTGCTGAGAGGATCAAATTGGTGAGTTTCGAAATAAAAACCTTTTTTCCTAATTGATTTCCTTGCTTTTGCTGATTATTGTTGGCTTTAATGCATGTTGATTTTTTATTTTCAATAATTTTGCTTATGTGGTTTGCGATTTTTGTTCTTCATTTTGTTCAGATTTTGAGGTTTTGATTTTGTTGTTTTTAGGTTTTTTGGCTTTCCTATTTTTGAGTGAGTTATTTGTGATCATTTTGCATTTATCAAAATTCAACTAGGGGAAATTGGTCTCTGTGTTGTGCCAAATCTTTACAGATTACATTTGGCTTAGTTTTGTGGATTTTATTTGGTCTGTGTAGCTATTTTTTGCCTGATTTTTCTTAATCTTATATGCTTGGGTTGTAAATTGTGGCTTTCCAGTATTTTGATTTTGTGGTCTTTAACTAATACACAATTTGCTCTGAGGTAGAAGGAAAAGAAAATCAAGTATACGAATGAGTTAGAAAGTAAGGTGTGACTATTTTGAAGCACCTGTGATGCTGCTGTTATATTTTGGGTACGTTTTCTGTCCTTCTGCTTTTTTTCCAGTTTGGAGATGCACTGATAATTGTTGGATTAATATGGACTTGTATTTTTTGGGAAGAAATGAGAGGAGTCGTTGGAATTTTAGAAAGCTTTGTGTTTCTGCCTTTTATGTGACAGGGAATACGGACAGGGAGTGGAAGACAGAAAACATTAGTTTAGATTGCAATTTTAAAAGTTTTTATGCATCCGAGCCCTAAAATTGCAAGTTGCCTTGGAATCTTACCATCCTCTTCTTCCTCAATATGGATTCGCTGGTCATCTCCTTCCTCTATCAGATTATAAATCCATTTTGGATGGTTGATTTCATTTGTCAGCGATATAGGCATGATATGCCGCAATGATCAGCAGTAACAAAACAAATGAACGCAGGGTTGCTCCTGCAAATGGATAGATACTATCCACGAGTAAACATTTATTCTCGAGTGTCCTTTGGACATGAAACAAAGCTAAACACCAGTCCTACACTACTCACCCTTGGAAACGTCTTTGTTTTGCCTGCAAAGGACTGTTGCGAAAATTAAACTGTCATTTCTCAAAACTAATCAATATCGTTACCACAAATCTAAGCCGCTAATTACATGAAAGCAGAAAAATCACAGCATGTAGCAGAGTTGCTGATCATCATCATTAAAAACATCATGAGCAGAATAGATGCGAAATAAGATTTAGACGCGTTATCCTGACTTGGTTTCCTCCTGTCAACAAATTCAATTTCGCTCTTGGTGCCATTGTTCTTCAATCCACACCTCTTGCCCTCTGCTTCGCATTTGATACAATTTGGTTTAGACCATTTGAAATGCATAGTTTTAATTGCATTTATTTTTCCAGAGGCAATGAGCAATGGAATAAGGTAACGTTTTATTTACCAAAATGCCTCTTCTTTTTCCAATGACATTTTTGGGCCGGGGGTCTGGGTTAGGCCCTTTAGGCCGTGTGTTTGTTTGGGTTGTGTACATTTGGGCTGTTAAATAGTGGGTTTTAGTCTGAAAAGGACTTTATTACCCATTTTAATTTGAGATCTAAAGGCAGAAAATAAAAGTTGGATGGCCATTATTGTCAGTTTTCGTTTAGGAGGGTTGGGTGTGGCTATCGAAGGAAATTGGTTGGATTCGGTGAGGGAGGCGTACAGAGAGTTGGTTGCATTGTGTGATTCGGTCAGGGGAAATTACAGAGAGGGAAATATAAAGGGAGGAAGGGGTATGATGAGTAGATTTTATATTATATATTTATCTCTGTTCTTAGTATATTTTGATCATTATTTTTGAAGAATTTTGATACTTTAAATTGTATTTTTAATATAGGACTTTCTATTTCCTTTGGAACAAAACATGATCAAATGGATGAATTTTGGAGTAATTCCAGTTGGAGGGCGTTCGTGAGTCATTTGGCTTGATCGTGTCAAAATTTGGAATTTTTCTACCAATTGGTGATTTTCTGGCGATAGAATAAAGGAGCAGTGCACTGGAAAAGTGACGTTTTGGGCTTGAATTGCGTTTTTGGAGCCCAAAATGACCTTTGATGGGTTCGTGGCCCTCTGGAGATGTGTTCAGAACATCCTGATCTTCAAAACAAGCTATTATGGGCTGGATTTGGAGGATATTTGAGGGTAAAATGTGGTTGGACAGTTACTTGGTAGATTCTCCTAACTTAATTAGGACTTTATTTTTTAAGATATTTTATTATTATTTAGTTTCCTGGTGAGAATAAAAAATTTAGTTTTCTACGGATTGTGCGATGGTTTTTGGGGGATATTTAAGGTTTTCCGCCGGCCCTAGTCTATTTATCTTCTCTTTTATGCGACTTTGGAGACAGAGAGAAATTGGCTAGGGTTCTTGAAGATTTTCAGATTTTTATTTTAAAGTGTTTTCATTTTTTTTCTTCATAATAATAATATTTTCTATGATTTTAATTATGAATATGCGTAACTAATTTGTTTGCTAGGGCGAAGCCTTAAGCCTTAGCATAAATATGTAATTTTTATTTAATTGCTTATGATTGATTGCATGCACGCTTTGAATTATTGATCACCGTTTTAAATTGCCTAATTGTCTTAATGCTTGATCACATTAGGATATTTAGAAAAGTAATTTGATGCAATTTTGGTCGGAAGGTTCCTTGAAATTGGCCCTGGCTTCCTGTGGTTAATAATTGTAATTTCACTTAGAATGAACACCACATCTTAAGGGTTGCATAGTTTTTCAAAGGGTTTTTATAAAACATAATGAGTCTCTCATGTTCATATTTGATCCGGACGTCCAAACAGATTGCATGTTAGATATACGTTCTATGTTGGAGGTTCCAAGTAGAATCTCCACTAATTAATGAAACCTTCTTTGTCAACCAAAAGAGGGTAAAAAGACAACTTAGTTTTCTATCACATAAAAAAAATGATGGGCAATAATGTCATTTCACAGGTTCAAATTTTATTGTTTTTTATCGAAGCCTTACCTATAGATAATGTTAAAATACCTTCAATATTATAAATTTAAAAAAAAAAAAAAAACCTCCCACTCCCTCCCCCCACGTTCTCTCTCTCCCTCTCTCCTTCTCATTTTCTAAAAAAATGTGTTCATACATACAAAGTGTGTAGGCAAATGCTTGTATATATTAGGAAAACCTGACTTTCAAAGTGGCATGGGTAGATCATAAGTAATTGATAAAAATACATAGAATTGTTAGGTGATTGTGGAACCATAGTGCTTTTATAAATTGGTATTTACAACTCTTTTCTTTTATCGCATTAGTTTTGGGGAATTTACTATAATTTTTAATTAAAATTCGTTTTTAATATTACCCAAATTCAAAATCTCCTTTCTCAATTTTTAAATTTAAGTAATTAAATATGAATTGTTTTTACATAAATTATTAAAATAGTTCATGTGAGGAATGACCTTGTATGAGCATCTATACTACAACATCCTTGTACTCTTGCAAGTTTTTTGTGTGATTTTAATCCTGTTTGTGTAGGTTCTAAAAATCCTATCAAGGCATTTGGTGGATGGTTACAAAGAGAGAATCGGTGAGGGCTTTACTGTATTCAAATTAGCCTTATTCCTTCGCTAGAAAATTATGATCTCACAAACGCCTCTAATCATTCATCTGAGAGGCAAGCTGTTCCCCTTAAGGATGAATTGTTATCCAAAGAACTATTTGGTGAACCGTCCGTTGGGAAAGAAGATCTACATTACGACTAGCTTATTCGTCAGTTAAAACACTTCCATCTTTGCTCCAAATGTTTGCCCGACGACTGATGTATTAACCTACAAACTCTAGCCGTCCTGTAAATCAATTCAGTCAACCCAGTTTGTTGACTAATTTTGCCCTACTAAACTTGTATTCTGTCTGTTAAAAAAGGTGAAACCGACGAAATCTTCTCTGTCGAGCAACACTTGACAGGGCAAGCCATAAATTCTAGTAGTGCAAGTTTAGATGAATCCAAGAACTAAAGGATTTAGCAAGTTTGGATGCATATTTCCTGTCTTTGGGGTTTCTAATAAATGATTGTACTTTACAGATGAATTGTACGTCTCATCTGTGTTGATTAAGATCTCCCCCTGTTTTTCGTGGCATTGAACTGCTAATCCTTTTCTGTGGTGGTTTCTGTATACTCCAGTACAATTCGTTTCTTTTAGGACTGATTTGAATGCGATTGATTTTGTTCAGTACCTTTCAAATTTCATGTGTTTTGTTCATTTCATTTAACTTTTTAAGATTTTATTTTTTGTAAATGCTAGTCTTATCATATTTTTCGTACCATAATTGTATCACTTTTTTAATAGAGATGGAACATACATGTGTTGATGAGCCTTACTTTTATAAACTGATGGTACAAATATGGTAAGTGCAATATTACTCTTTAGTAGAGTAATGTTGGAGATACCGCATATTTATACCACATTGATGTATCATATAATGTGACAAGTAATAAATATAACCAACAATCTAACATTTAATGAGATAAACTCATTACAAGACGTGGTATGTACACAGCCATATCACAATATGGTACAACAATGTAATATAAACATGTAATCTCTCTAGTATTTTGCTTATTTTTTATTTATATTTGTTAATAGAAACAATATTGTTGAACCTTAAGAAGGATTACACTCAACATCATGCGGGTGAACATATTGAACGCTGAGCAGGCTCCTCGTATAATGCTACATAACTACCACATATGGGTAAATTCCAACTCCTGCCCATGGAAGCCCATACTTTGCTTGCACATGAGCTACTTAATGAATTGGAATTAATTGTGGGTTCCTCTAGGTCTTCTAATATTGTTTACTAATTGTTGCGGCATATCAAGTGACTTTGCATAAAAACTTTCATAACATTGACACGGTTATAACACTGTGTGTCGTTAATTGTCAATCATGCAACGCAATATGTAAATTCTTTTTACATAATGTTTGTGTGATTGGCATGAGAAACTACATGTGCCATAGAAGTTGGTCTTGAAGGAAACATTTGATAAGCTAAGTTCATTAGAGCAACACTCATACATGTAATTAACAATTAAGGGTTCTAGCATGCTTATATACACTCAAAAATAAAACTTAACTCATGAAATTCAGAGCCTAGTAATTGTTAGTCAAATACTCAACTCAAATTCAAAACAAAAAGAATTGACTTTATACTTTTCTAGATCCTCAAGGATAATCACATAAAGTGAGGTTCTCATTCCTTTTGCTCATAGGTTCTTTTATCCATTAATATGGATAAACTCTTGCTTCTTGGCTCCATAGATCCATGTTTTGGATGGTTGAAAGGATTCTCCAAAGCAACTAAAGTAGGAGGCTTTTATTTTTCGGAGTAAATTGTAGCACTAGTCTCTTAACTTTAATCCAATTGGAGCAATGGTCTCTCACTTAAAAATTCATTATCATTGGCCCCTCAACTCATCAAAACGTGCAGCTATAGTCATTTTGGTCAACTCTATTAGAACTTCTGTTAAAATGAGTCACATGTCATGCACGTGAGGCTAAATCAAGGGCCAAATAAGAAAAATTGTATTAATGATCCCTCAACTTTAATCCAACTGGAGAAATTATTCCTCAACTTTAACCTAATTGGAACAATGGTCCCTATCTTTAACCCAATCGTGACAATGATCATTCTAACATAACTTATTTTAACAGAATTCTGAGAGAATTGACGAAAATGATCATAACTATATATTTTGATGAATTGATGAACTAATGAAAATACTTAGTTAAAAAATTATTATTTCAATTTAATTAAAATTAAAAAAACATTGCTACAATTTATTATATTTTTCAACGCCAAAAATGAATGACAAAGAAGATGAGCGTCCATCCCGCTCACAAATTTGATTCCCGTGCAATATGTTGCATATTTGTTGGCTACCCTCTTGGTAAAAAAGTCTATGCGCTTTATAATTTGGTCAAAAACGCTAGCCTGCCAGCCTATTGGATCAACCACAGCAGCCCACACGGTCTGCCACGTCCCTTGCCCTCACGTCACCCTCACGCCCGCCTCTACCTTCCACGCAATCTCTTGCGTCCCCAATCCCATTTCCTTCCAACTGCCCGCCAATTCCTTCCGCGTCACCTCTACACCCCCACCCAATATTGTGATTACCCGTTATCCATGAAGTTTCTTCCATCCTCAGAGTAATACTTTTTGTTTTATGTGATTTATTGTTGTGGTAGAATGCAATAATGCTTATATACTTTTGCATGAATTCAATATCTACTAATATTTATCGATCTTTTTACTTTTAATAACTAACAATTTAATTCTCTTATTTTATAGTTTTCAAATCAAACAAAAAAAATTCATATTGTTTCTTTTAATTAAAATTTTAAATAATATTTAGTCGTATAATTAGCTTCGGTTACTAATCAATCCACTTTGTTTGGCAAGTTTTCGTATCCCAAACTCAACGCGAAGGGAAAAACTTGGGTGGGGATGGCATGCTTTATGGCAAGATAAGTCTATATGAAATTAATTTTCTAATTAGAAGTTAAAACATACAAAATGCTAACTAGTTGAAGCTCACGACAAATGGTAGTGCTCTAATTATTGTCACGGCTTAGAGCTTAAATAGTATAAATAAGAACCGAAATCAAGCTCTTGGTGTGTAGAAATGAGTTAGAATTTGGTAAGTCCAGTGCTCGATTTCCTTCTAGGCTTCTACAGTAACCAAAAATAAATTAAAAAAATGATAAACAATAATTGGCATCTAATGCTTAAACAATGAGTGGAAACAAACTTCTTTTGTTTGGTACCAACACGAAATGGTTATCAAAATATCCCCTAGGTTTGAATCATCACACATTCAATGCGAATGTTACTATACATTTGCGTATACATTTTACTCTAATTCAGCAACTGCTTCTAGCTCTAGGCGTCTTGCATTTCTAGTTGTAGGACCTGTAGGCATGAAGGGATTAGGCGGCACGGTCAAGCTATCTCCTCCTCCTTCTAACATCTGAACAGCTGTTTTCATGGAAGGACGATTCGACGGGTGCCACTGGATACACCATAGCCCTATAATTGCAAGTTTCTTTGGAATTTTACCATCTTCTTCTTGCCCAATACGGATTCGCAGGTCGTCCCCATCCTCTAGAAGATTATAAATCCACTGTGGATAGTAGATTTCACTTGAAGTGTTCTCCGTGGTTGAACCAATATTCTTCCTTCCTCCTACCATCTCAAGCAGCAGCATTCCAAAGCTATAGACATCTGCCTTGTAAGACACATTTCCAAAATTCCTGGAGAACACTTCGGGTGCAATGTAGCCCATGGTCCCCCTAGCTGTAGTCATGGACACCAAGCTTTGATCCTTGGAACATAACTTGGCCAAACCAAAATCAGAAATTTTTGGAGTGAAGTTTTGGTCCAGCAACACATTATGGGGTTTGATATCGAAATGCAGGATTC